ATCCAAATGCCCAAGCTGACAAATAGCAGCAGAGGAGGAAATAACAAAGAATTTGCAAACAAATGGAGGCTGGCACTTGGGTATCTGGAAAAGAAGACAAAAGTAGATTTGAAGATTGCCATAGAAGGGATTCAGTGAAAAAGGACATATGGGTAGTTGCTGTTTAGTTATGTGATCTCTTTTGAGGGGTGTCAGAGGTCTTGGGGGTTGGGTTCATGGGTGTGGGGTTATTATTTATTTATTTATTTCCGGTATTTCTATCCCGTTCCTTCTCAACCCTCGAAGGGGGACTCAGGATGGCTTACATTTGGGAGCAATTTGATGCCACTACATATAAAAGAGCAATATAATAACAATTAAAACAATAAATAAAACATTCATTAGAGGGATAAGAGGAATAAGGGTTAGAGGGATAAGAAATGTTAAGGTATAGTAATTGTACAGCCAATTCCGATTTTTCATATATTTAACGAGCGCTGACTGTATATCATTTTGTAAACCTGCTTACTCTTTTGCATTTTTTCTTTTTTTATTGTCTATTTTATTTCTTACATACATTATAAAAATGCTTTTCTCTATTCTAAATTTGTGGCATTTTATCAGGACAGCTTATTGTTTCCAAAACGTTTATCTGATGTTGCAAATTCCCTTGGCTCCCACATTAAAAGAAAGGCAGGACATAAACAAAACGAACAAATTCTTACAGGTTAGAATCAAAGCATATTAAAATTCTGCAGCATCAAATTATTTACAGCAGAAGGGGAAATTCCATGGCTCTTCAGGTGTCATTGGATAGCAACTTCAAAATCTTATTCCCCATATTCACTGGGGCTGATGGGAACTGCAGTCCAACAATATCTGAAGGGCCAAAGAATTCTTCTCCTGCTTTACTGGACCACAACCTTTCCTGTACACTGAGGAAAAGTGAAAGTCAGGTGGCAAAAAAATTATAGATTTCACTTTGTATTGAATTCTAGATTATGCTTAATAACCACCATCTTTTAAGTTTGTAGCAATGCTTAGGTGGCTGAAGTGGAAAAGGAAAGGGCATGAAGCTGTTAGTTTTTCTTTCTAGTAGGTTCTATGCAATAATGGGAGGTATTAGAACATGTTGTTATTTCTCTTGAGGCAATTGTGTGTGTGTATGTATGCACACACGCACACACATGCATACTTTGTTTATTTGTATACTAATAGATATTTGTGCATTATTTGTGGAAAAGGAAAGGGCCTGAGGCTGTTAGCAATTGCAGGAGTTGAATCCAAAAACACCTGGAGGGCCAAAGTTTGCCCATGCCTGGTGTTGCGGTTTCAGTGTTGGACAATGACTCTGGAAACCAGGCTTCCAATCCCTGCTTGGTCATAAAACCACTGGATAACCTTACACAAGTAACACTTTATCAGCCTCAGCAGAACAGCAATGGCAACCTCTTCTGATCAAATCTTGCCAAGAAAACCCTGTGATAGGTTCAAGCTTATTGCTGCCAACACAACTTGGTACAAAGCAACAAAGTACCTTTCCCTAGATTTTTGTTTCAAGGGAAATTACAGGAAACGCAGATGAATGTGGGATGCGTAGTTTGCAACAGAAATGATAAAAAGGCACACAACTGCAGCTGCAACTACACTTTAGAAAGAATACTGTTTGAGACCACCTTAACTGACATGGCTCAATGCTATGGAATCATGGGAGTTAGAATTTTATAAGGTCCTTCTCTTTTTCTGCCAAAGAGTGCTGGTACCTCACCAAGCTATAACTATGGGCAAACCCAGGCCGGGGAGCTGGATGGGCTCTTTTCTGAAGCCCCTCTCTCATCATCCTATCTTTCTTTCCTTCTCTTGTTCCTTCCTCCTTCCCTCCCTCTTTCTCTTTCCCTTCCACCCTTTTGTCCTTCCCTCCCTATTGTCTTTCCTTCCTCCTGCCCCCTCTCCCCTCCCTCTTTCTCCTTCCATCCTTCCCTTCCACCCTTTCCTCCTTTCTTTCCTCTCTCCCTTTCTCCTTCCATCCATCCTTCCCTCCCTTTTGTCTTTCCTTCCTCCCTTCCCTCCCTCTTTCTTTCCATCCTTCCCTTTCAACCTTCCTTCCCTCTCTCCCTTCCTTCCTTCCATCCCTTTCTTCCTTCTCTTTTCTTCCTCCTTCCTTTCCTCGTTTTTGTCTTTCCTTCCTCCTTCCCTTCCTTTATTCCATCCTTCCCTCACTTTTGTCTTTCCTTCCTCCTTTCCTTTCTCCCGTCCCTCCCTCTTTCTCCTTCCATCCTTCGCTTCCACTCTTTCATCCTTCCTTCCCTAACTCCTTTTTTCTCCTTCCTCCCTCTCTCCTTCTCCTTCCTTCCCTTTTGTCTATCCTTCCTTCTCTTTCCTTTATCCTTCCCTTCCTTCCCTCCCTTCCACTCTTTTGTCCTTTCTTGCTTCCCTCTCTCTCTCTTTCTTCCATCCTTCTCTTGCTCCCTTTTCTTTATCCTTCCCTTCCCATCCTTCCTTCCATCCTTCCCTTCCACCCTTTCGTCTTTCCTTCCTTCACTTTCCTTTATCCTTCGCCTCCTTCCTTCCATCTTTCCCTTCCACCCTTTTGCCCTTCCCTCTCTCCCTCTTTCTCCTTCCATCCTTCTCTTGCTCCCTTTCGCCCTTCCTTCTTTCTCTCTTCCCTTACTCCTTCCTTCCTTTCATCACCGGGCAGCCAGTCCTCCTAGCAAGGGAGTGCTAGTCCATATTTTAACCACTAGGAGGCGCCATTGATTTAATTCAAGGAAACCAACTATTTCATTGCTAAGAAAGAGGCGAAAAGCTGCCTCTTGTATGTCAGAAGTCCTCCCAGGAGCATTTTAGCCTCTGCTTTCCTGTCTCTATGGTCGCAGATCTCTTATCTGAAGATGATGGAGATTCTCTAGAACTGTGAAATAGTTTGCAGCACTTGCAGATCTCCAAATCTAGGGGCAAAACCAGTGAAAATACGTAATATGCAACCGAAAATAGACAAGATTGCTTTCTAAAGCTCCTACAAAATAAACTAGATAGGAATGGGCTTTTTTCTCTTTCAGAAAAGACCTCAAGTAGTCCAATAGCAAATTTGAAACCAATTATTTCATGCATAACTTTGGAAAGGCTATACTAATTGTGTTTGTTTGCTGTTATAGTTCCCTCTACGTTCCGCCTCGTAGTCTAAGATCTGCAGAGGAGGCCCTGCTTTTGGTCCCAGCAGCTTCGCAAACGCGGCTGGTGGGGATGAGGGACAGGGCCTTCTCGGTGGTGACCCCCCTGTCTAGAATTTGCTCCCCAGCGAAATTAGATCAGCGTCCTCCTTTCTTTCAGAAGAAAACTGAAGACGTGGTTGTGGAACCAGAGTTTTGGCTCATGGATATAACGGCACCTGAACAGCGAATGGGACCAGACGGTTGTTATGATGGAAATGCCTTTATGATTGGATAACTAATGTTGTTTTAATGTATTATATTGTATGATTTTATTTTGCTTTTATAATAGTAATTATTGTGGCATCGAATCGTTGCCATTGTTAGCTGCTCTGAGTCTCCCTGCAGGGGTGAGAAGAGCGGGGTAGAAATGCTGCAAATAAATAAATAAATAATAGTTTCACAAGGCATTTGTCTAAGAGTGCTGGTGCCTCACCAAACTACCAGGATTCCATCGCATTGAGCCATGGCTGCTAAAGTGGTGTTGAATTGCATTAATTCGACAGTGTAGATCAGGGGTCCTCAAACTAAGGCCCGAGGGCTGGATATGGCCCTCCAAGGTCATTTCCTCGGCCCTCACTCAGGGTCAACCTAAGTCTGAAACAACTTGAAAGCTCACAATAACAACAATCTGGATTGTTGTAGGTTTTTCGAGCTTTATGGTCATGCTCTAGAAGCATTCTCTCCTGACATTTTGCGTGCATCTGTGGCAAGCATCCTCAGAGGTTGTGAGGTTGTGACCCACTTCAGAGGTTAAGATTGTTGGGGAAGGTTCAGAGGATGGGACAAACCTCACAACCTCTGAAGATGCTTACCACAGATGCAAACAAAACGTCAGGAGAAAATGCTTCTAGAACATGGCCATACAGCCTGAAAAACCTACAACAACCCAGTGATCCTGGCCATGAAAGCCTTTGACAATACATTGAACAAAAATCCTATCTCATCAGCCAAAAACAGGCCCACACTTCCCATTGAAATACTAATAAGTTTATATTTGTTAAAATTGTTTTTCATTTTAATTATAATATTGTTAAGTGTTTTTTGGCACTACAAATACGATATGCGAGTATGCATAGGAATTCATTTATGTTTTTTTCCCAAATTATAATCCGGCCCTCCAGCAGTTTGAGGGACTGTGACCTGGCCCTCTGTTTAAAAAGTTTGAGGACCCCTGGTGTAGATGCACCTTGTAAGACTTACATTCAAATATGCCACCTTCACAACCTAATTTAACAGATCCACTCGTTCAGCTTATGCAATTCACTGGTGCTAAACCCACAAACCAATCCTAGAGTAGATCTACACCAAGTATGGGCAAACTTGGGCCCTCCAGGTGTTTTGGACTCCAACTCCCATCATTCCTAACAGCCTCAGGCCCTTTCCTTTTCCCCCTCAGCCGCTTAAGCGGAAAAAGGCAGGGCCTCTCTTAAGCGGCTGAGGGGGAAAAGGAAGGGGCCTGAGGCTGTTAGGAATGGTGGGAGTTGGAGTCCAAAACACCTGGAGGGCCCAAGTTTGAACCTATGCCTGATCTACACTGTCCAAGTTTGGTGGCATCACTTTAATTGCCATGTCTCAATGCTATGAAATCCTGGGCTTTGTAGTCTGTGGAGGCACCAGCATTCTTTGGCAGAGAAGGCTAAAAGGCCTTGTCAAACTGCAGAACACTGAGCCATATTTGTGGAAGTGGTAGTAGGAATGCACTCCACACTGGCTTGGTTGACCCTCCCCCGCCCCTCCCGCAAAGCCTTGAGCGCGCGGAGTGAACAGGAAGTGACGCGTTTGGAATTCTGGCTGCGTTTCCATAGCGAGGAAGGTCGTGCTCCGGAAGGGGAGCGGCCATGTTTCTGAGTGACCCCCGGGCGCGGTGCGGCAAGTGGGAAGAGGCGGGCTTGGAGCCTTCGGAAGGCGGCGAGGCCCCGTCTTTCTCCTTCCTGAAGGTACCGACAGCGAGAGGCCCTGCCTTTTTCCTGCTTCCCCTGGAAGCCTAGCTGGGAGGGATGGTATCCCTCACCGTCTCTGCCCCCTGTTTCCTTTCTTGCTTTCTCACATAGCCCCACACACCATTGTTTTCCTTTTCAGAGTAAGGAGAGGGGGAAAGAGGCGGAAAAATGAACCGTCCTCGTGCCATTTCTTTGCCACCCAAGGCCTGCCCTTAGTCTTTTTGAAGCCGTGGGCAAATTGAGTTGGTTTTATTTTATTGTTCCCTTGGGTTGTGAGGGATTAAAATTAAGTAGCCTATACACCGGGCATGAACAAACTTCGGCCCTCAAGATGTGGTGGACTTCAACTCCCACAATTCCTAACAGCCTCAGGCCTCATAAGCAGCTGGGAGGGGAAAGGAAGGGGCCTGAGGCTGTTAGGAATGGTGGGAGTTGAAGTCCAACAACCTCAGGTCTCATAAGCAGCTGAGAGAGGAAAGGAAGGGGCCTGAGGCTGTTAGGAATGGTGGGAGTTGGAGTCCAACGGCCTCAAGCCTCATAAGCAGCTGAGAGGGGAAAGGAAGAGGCCTGAGGCTGTTAGGAATTGTGGGAGTTGAAGTCCAACAACCTCAGGTCTCATAAGCAGCTGGGAGAGGAAAGGAAGGGGCCTGGGGCTGTTAGGAATGGTGGGAGTTGGAGTCCAACAGCCTCAGGCCTCATAAGCAGCTGAGAGGGGAAAGGAAGGGGCCTGAGGCTGTTAGGAATGGTGGGAGTTGAAGTCCAACAGCCTCAGGCCTCATAAGCAGCTGAGAGGGGAAAGGGAGGGGCCTGAGGCTGTTAGGAATGGTGGGAGTTGAAGTCCAACAGCCTCAGGCCTCATAAGCAGCTGAGAGGGGAAAGGAAGGGGCATGAGGCTGTTACGAATGGTGGGAGTTGAAATCCAACAGCCTCAGGCCGCATAAGCAGCTGAGAGGGGAAAGGAAGAGGCCTGCGGCTGTTAGGAATGGTGGGAGTTGAAGTCCAACAGCCTCAGGCCGCATAAGCAGCTAAGAGGGGAAAGGAAGGGGCCTGAGGCTGTTAGGAATGGTGGGAGTTGGAGTCCCAAACACCCGGAGGGCCGAAGTTGGCCCAGGCCTAATCTACACTGTAGAATTCGTACACTTCAATATCACTTTAACTGCCTTGGCTCAATGCTATGGAATATCGTACTGTTGTAGTTTCAGAAGGTCTTTAAGCCTTCTCTGCCAAAAGTGTGCAGGTGCCCCACTAAACCACATCCCAGGAATCCATAGCACTGAGCCCTGGCAGTTAAAATGGTCCCAAGTTGCATTCATTCTCCAGTGTTAATACACCCTTGGATGGCACGGAAGACAATTTCAGCCTGGACCACTGTATCAGAATACCAATTTGACCACAAAAAAAAAAAAAAAGCAATTAAGGGGCCCTTAAGCCCCTTGCACACAGCTGAAAGAAATCCCACATTGCCTTCTTTGAACTGGAATATTTCACAGTTGGGACTTGGATAACCCAGAGCCCTTCTACACAGACATATAACCCACAATATCAAGGCAGAAAATCCCATAATATCTGCTTTGAACTGGGTTATCTGAGGGCCCTTCCAGTCAGGCCCTATGACCCAGGATCTTACCCCAGATTTTCTGTTTATTCCATGTAATCTGGCAGTTCCAACTGATATGATCCAGTTTAAAGCAGAAAACCTGGGATCAGATATTGGGATATAGGGTCTGTCTAGAAGGGCCCTAGAGCCACACTGCCATATATACCAGTTCAAAGTAGGTAATGCTGGATTTTATTCAGTTGTGTGGAAGGGGGCCCTGTTCAAAGCAGATATTGTGGGATTTTCTGCCTTGATATTCTGGGATACAGGGCTGTGTGGACCCTTAGTAGAGAAGAAACACACAGCATTAACCTCCCAGTTTTGAGCTCCAAACACATTTGTTTTGCAGAAAGGCAAAAAACCCTTAGAATTATAGAATAACAGAGTTGGAAGAGACCAGATGGGCCAACTAGTCCAACCTCTTGCCATGCAGGAAAAGCACAATCAAAGCACCCCCCAAAAGATGGCCATCCAGGGCCTGTCTAAAAACCTCCAAGGAAGGAGCATTTCACCACACTCAGAGACAGTTGAATAGCTTTCCAAATTAATTTTACAAAATAGCTCTTCTCTAATTGAGAAGACCTCTTTCTCCAAGGTTTTCATACTCTCAACTGCTAGCATATTTGCATGACCCTACAGTATCAACATAAATATACAGGCGTACTGTACACTGGATACACATGTATGTGGTTCATTCATTACACAAAGCATGTCATGATACTGTCTGGTGATTTCCAATAATTTGCTAACTTCACCTCATTCTTCAACTAATTCTCTTGTTAGTGGTAAAGCATAATCTGGTTAAGAATATATACAGTAGGCTCTGTAAACTGGAACTCAAGCAACCAGAACTCTCGAGCAACTGGCAAAAAGCTTCACTTGCTGCCAGTTTGCTACTGGGCACAATTCAGAGTGTTGGCTTTAGCCTATAAAGCCCCAAATGATTCTGGCCCAACTTACCTGTCCGTATGCATTTTCCCCTATGGACACTCTAGGACTTTAAGATTGTCTGGGGAGGCCCTACTCTCGATTCCGCCTTAGTCACAAGCACGGTTGGCGGGGACGAGAGACAGGGCCTTCTCAGTTGTGGCCCTGCAGATATGAAATGCCTGGGGACATTAGATTGGCCCCCTCCCTTTTAACATTTCAGAAGAAAGTTAAGACCTGGCTTTTCGAGGAAGTGTTTGGAAATACAGCGTAACAGACATAGGAAAATGGACTGACTGGACGAATGTGATTGGACAGCGTTTTAATATGGAGATTCTAATGACTTATGTTTTTATTGATTTTATCACAATTTTATATTTTCTTAATTGTTTTTATTGTATTTTGATGGTTGATGTGACTGTAAACTGCCTGCAGGCTGAGAGGGGCTGTATACAAATATAGCAAATAAATAAATAATGAATAAATGATACTGTGTCCACAAAGCTGTTTTTATAATATCGTAAAAAATTAAGTTAGCTTTGTCTTTATTTGCTTTAAATTCCTGTATTTCAATGTTAACATCAAATAACTACATCCAGAAACTACATTTGTCTAGCATCTACCAATCCTCATAGGTGCCAGTTGATTGTCTAAAAGGTAAATGTTCCCCTGACATTAAGTCTAGTCATGCCAACTCTGAGGAGTGGTGCTCATCTTCATTTCTAAGCTGAAGAGCCAGCGTTGTCCGTAGACGCCTCCAAGGTCATGTGGCCAGCATGACTGCATGAAGCGCCATTACCTTCGATCTACTCACATTTGCATGTTTTCAAACTGCTAGGTTGGCAGAAGCTGGGCTTAAGAGCAGGAGTTCACCTCGCTCCCCCCGATTCGAACCGCCGATGTTTCGGTCAGCAGGTTTAGCAGCTCAGTGGTTTAACCCACTGCGCCACCGGCGGCTTCCTGATTGAGTGTCTATGGTATGCAAATATAGTCATTATTTGATTTTTCTGTGTGCCCTCAGATCACCATCCTGGTATCCCTCCTCCATGGCAGTGTGGAGCCGTGAGGCAGTGCTGGCCCTTTATCGCGCTCTGCTGCGTCAGGGGCGGGGCCTGCGCTACACCGACCGTCAGTTCTATTTCAACTCCATCCGGCAAGAGTTCCGCAAGAACCAGAACCTTGAGCATCTTGAAGAGAAGGAAAGACAACTGGAGAAGGGCCAGGCTTTCTTGCAAAGCAAACTTGGGGGATTGATTTAGAAACATTTTGTCTTCCCCTTTCACTTTTCTGTCTTCTTCTTAGCCTCAATTTTTTGGCCATCTGACATAGATGGTTAATTTTGTCAGATTGTTACAAACCTGAAAACAGAAGCCTGAAAACATCATATGTAGATCTTTGGGAGTATTCTTCCTTCTTCACAGATGCATTAAGCATCAGGTAGGTTTTTTTAATGCTGTTCTTATGACACCCTGGAAAATCAGTCTATTGACGTATTTGTGCCGCTAAAAATGTCAGGTTTTTTTGCCTTTGACTTTTTAGAGAGCAAATAGATGTTAGTCTTATTTGTCTTGGGAATGTTAGTTAAATTTAGAAGAAAGGGGGTAGTACAACATAAAAGACATGGATATTAAAAGTTATATTCAGACCATCATTCAGCCCTCACATTCAGTGAATTGTCTGGGGAAACTTCTGCCTAAGTGTATGTCAGTTTTTCCAGACAAATTTCATAAGGATTATAAAACATGTCATGCAAATCTTCCAAATAAACCACTATTTTATGAATTTAACATGTCTTTTTATATACGACAGCATTTTATTAACAGCTGCATATCATGACCCTTTTTGAAGTGGGCTGTGGCATGACATTCTGCAGTACTTGCTGAATTGAACACTGTTTGTGTCTTAATATTTGCACTTAAATGTGTGATGCAAGGCCAGAAAGTTATTTCTTTTCTTTACAATATGTTCTGTCTACTTGATCCTTATGAAACAAATTGCATGTATGTAGCAGTACAGATCATTAGTAATATGAATCAACATCTTAGTTGATTGTTTATGTGATAAGAGCAAGGTTCAGGCTAAAATCATGAAGTATTGAGTGGCAAACTGACAAAATGAAAAATATTAACAAAAAATGGTCTTATCTCTCCATGAAGGAGCAATGGCAGGCGCTGGAGAGCGCAAAGGAAAGAAGGATGATAATGGCATTGGTACTGCCATTGATTTTGTGTTGTCCAATGCCCGACTCGTGCTGGGTGTCGGCGGTGCTGCCATGCTGGGGATTGCCACCTTGGCCGTCAAACGGGTAAGAGTGAACACAATGAATGAAAGAATTCCAAAATGCATGGCTGCTGTAAAAGATGTAATGACAAGATGGAGGTTTTCGTATGGATTTCACATTCATCTTCCTGCTTCTTCCACTTTAGATGTATGACCGAGCAATCAGTGCTCCTGCCAGTCCCACCCGTTTGAGCCAATCAGGAAAGAGAAGCTGGGAGGAACCAAGTTGGCTTGGATCATCATCGCGGTTACTAAACCAAGATATGAAGACTAATATTAGTCGTTCTCTTCAGACTCTTCCCACTGATCCTTCAGCTTTTGAAACAGGTAGTTTGTGTGTTTGCGTATACAAGTCATCTCCATAATCCGTCAACTTGTTGGTTTTGATGACTAAAAGCAGTTTGTTGACGATAGGCTTTTAAGTAGGGAGGAGATTTTAATGATCACATAGTACAGTAAAGTGGCCTGAGGGAAAAATAGTATTTATCCAATAATTCCTGGCAAGTGCATTTCTGTTGCCCTTTCAGAAAATATTCTAGTAAAGAAAGAGCATCTTTTTCTAAGTTGTAATTTTTTCCCCTAATGGTGATCTCACTTGGTGCCTGATCAGGCCTGCCACATGGCTAGACCAAATTTTCTTTTTCTTGGCAGACTCTGTGAAATCAATGAGACATAAGTCACCTGCTAAGAAAAGCCAGGTGGAGCTGAAGAAGTCCCGCTTGAGAATGTCCTTGCAAGAGAAGTTGTTTGCCTATTATCGGAGAAAAGTGGCCATTCCAGCAGAAGAGCAGGCCAAGGCCAAGCAGGCTGCTGTGGATATCTGTGCTGAACTGCGTGGATTCCTTCGTGCCAAGCTCCCAGACATGCCTCTGCGTGAAATGTATCTGAGTGGTAGTCTTTGTGATGATTTGCAGGTAAGACGTAAAAACAGTGGAGACACTTAACTTGTCTAGTACCTGTGTTGTTCTGCTTAAAATGATTATTCCTGATTTTGAACCGTATGTTTCTGTTGCATGGGAAACAAAGTTATTTTCTCTGAATAAAATCTACCTTTTTGTCTGCCTGCCTTTTTTTGTTATGCTTTCTCTTTCTGATCAAATTCCATAGTTTACTTGACTGTGTCTTCTCTCAGTGTTGTTCCAAAGTCTAATCTCCTAGTTAGTCTGTTCTTCTCTTTTTGTTATAGAATTTAAATGGGTGCTTTCCAGCATGTAAATATGACAAATTGATTGCTCTTAACAGAACAGTTCAAAATGGGTACATTACTCTTGAGTTACCATCATGCCACAACTCATATAAATTGTATTTTGGCTTGATTGACAGTTATATTTGAGATCATTTTCAAATACTAGCATGGTTTTTAATGGTGATGATGGTTTCCAGAGAAAAATGAGCATGAACTTTCACCAAATTCTTTCTTGAATTAATTTAGATTCTCTTTAGGCAAAATTGGAGGAAAGATTGTGTAGCTCAATGATTGATCTCAGCTTTCCGTGCTGAAGATTGCAAGTTCATTCTGGTACAACAGGAAAACCCTGTGTCTGAAAGTATGCAAAGCTACTCTATCCAGTTAGTCCTCATTCAAGCAGCTAAAATAAATTTACCATTGAATGCCTAAATGTTGAGATATCTTTCTGGCCCCAGTGAGAATGCCATTATATTTTAGGGTATAAACTTGTCCATGGAAGTGCTTATGGATGCAGAATTCTGCGACCATCAAATGTAAAGATCTAGAAAACACAGACGCAGAACATCTGTTTTGAGTAACCTTTAACTCTTTGTGTTTGCAGAAAAAGTAACAAAGGCAAGTGCAAGGTTAGAAAAATCCTGTGTGACAGATGACTAAAGCACTGTTACAAATGTTCAAGATGTTTTTTAAAAAAACGAATACTGAAAATAGTGACTTTGGTGGACTGCCTGGAAGATAGTTAATATCAGCAGCATAGATTTTGATGAAGCCGCAGTCTTGACTTTACACAGGCAACTTTCATCTCATTCCAGTAAATGTCGTTAGTTACTAGAGTTCATTCATTGTAATGCGTGCATTTTTGAAATAAAACTGTTCCATTGTGTGTTGTATACATTTGTAGAATTCATAGAATTCTTCTCAGACTTTAGCTGACACATTACGCTTATTGTGCATAATGTAGGCTGTGACGTGTAGGTCTGAATTAATGGCTAAACATGCAATATTTCAGAATGAAAGGTACCAGGCAGGCTTATTCCCAATCATTATAAAATACTAGACAAAAAAGTTTGTCTTTTTTGCATACTTAGTGGGGTGAGGCTTCACCTGTCAACATGTTCTCATTGTGAGCATGTGTCATGTGAGCATGTTCTACATCATGGAGTACTGGATCATACATGAAAATCCCAGCTGATTCTTTGTTTCTAGTCTTCCCTCTAGCCAGAGGATTTGTGTGACCTTCAGAGGTCTAGGATGATTAACTCCTTCCTTTCCTTCATATGGCAGGTTGTGACAGCTGATCATATCCAGCTCATAGTTCCCTTGGTCTTGGAACAGAACTTGTGGTCATGCATTCCAGGTGAAGACACCATCATGAACATCCCTGGTTTCTGTTTGGTACGTCGGGAAAACCCAGAATACTTCCCTCGTGGTAGTAGTTATTGGGACCGCTGTGTGGTGGGGGGTTACCTCTCACCCAGGGCTGTGTCTGAAACCTTTGAGAAAATAGTGGCAGGCTCCATCAACTGGCCAGCTATTGGGACCCTTCTAGACTACGTGATCCATCCAGCAGCACCTTTGGAATCTCTAACACTGGAGGTCCAATATGAAAGAGACCATCGCCTCCTGATAGACTTCTTACCATCTGTGACAATAGGTGACACTATCTTGGTGGCCAAGCCACACCGACTGGCTCAGTATGATAACCTGTGGCGGCTTAGTCTTCGTTCAGCAGAGACTGCTCGCTTGCGGGCTTTAGACCAGGCTGACTCTGGCTGCCGTTCTTTGTGCCTCAAGATCCTCAAGGCCATATGCAAGCTGAACCCTTCTTTAAGTCATCTTACTGCCAGTCAGCTTACCAATGTCATACTGCACCAGACCTCAGAGGAGACAAACTGGTCACAAGATGTACTAGCTGACCGTTTCCTTCAGGCACTGAAAGAACTGATTGGTTATTTGGAAGCGGGTGTTCTTCCCAGTGCTTTGAACCCCAGGGTGAACATGTTTTCAGAGCTTACACCTGAAGAAGTGGATGAATTGGGATACACCCTGTACTGTTCCCTTTCAGAACCCGAAGTACTGCTTCAAACATAATAGCTGCCTTATGTATGAGAATATTATTAGAACTGCCATCCATGACAAGTTCTCTGATACCTCCTAAATGAAATATGCACACCTTGCTCCATTATTTTGACAAGTTCACGTTTTCCTTTTTTATTATACTGGGGAATGGGATTATGTTTCTTGGTGCTATTGGTTCAGCTGCACTACCCTCATAGCTACTCTCTGATGGGAAATGGGTGACATGGAATAGTTGCATGGTCTGTCATGGTCCTTGCTAGTTTCTGGTGTCCCAGCTGCCTGTGATAATATGGTGCACCTCCTTACTCTTATATTCTATAAGTTACTTCAGAAAAAATGCTGTAATTCTCACCTTAGAAATTGTGGAATTGGCCAGTAAATCACTAACAGTTTTTACAAAAAGACCTGAGTGATACGATTTTCCAGGGGTTTGACCTATTTCTGTATTCTGTTTGTGTGTGTTACTTTTTGTCCCCTTCACAAACAGATCTGCATGGTAGCCTAAAACAAATATTTAAATAGAAATATTTATAGGATGGAATGTATTTGTTTGAGCTCTGTGCTTTGATTGTATTTATAACATTTTTGAGACAGAGATTTCTAGAAAGAGTTTGCACATTGCATTGGTTTTCACCACTATGAATTTGACTTAATCCCATATTTGGGAAACTTAAAAAGCTTATTATCCAAGGTACATTCTTTTCCCATCCTGATATCCTTCATTAAACTTACACACATGTAACTTTTATGGTTCTCATTTCAACCCATATTTTTAAAAGTGGTGGTAGGTCCCTGTTGTGGATAAAGTAATGGGAGAATAAC